CCAGTTTTCAGTTCTTTAACATGTTTAAAATTTAACTTTGGCATAATTTTATAAGTTAAAAATAGGAATAATTGATGAAATAAGGTGAGATGTCTAGAACGGAACAAGGCAAGGCAAAAAAAACCTGGGGCCAGAACATATGTACGTACATATGTACGGTACTGACTGGTGATAAAATTTGTGACTTCAATGTGATAAAATTATACATTAACAGGATAATATCATAGCCGTGATAAAACATAAACAATACAAATATGCATTTATTTATAACTATCGGCTAACTATTTATATCTACTTACTACTTTAACGATAAATACCCAAATCGGGATAACCAACTTTAGAAAAAACCTAACTTGGCTATAAGAAAAGCATCTGCTAAAGGAAATCTTCAATTGTATTCTTATTTGCAAGCTGGTTACCAAATTTGTAGTACGCATTATATAGCTATTGTTGAAAATCAATTACCTGTATCTATATCCATGCCTGCACAAAGTGGGTTTCTTTCAACATTATTGGTTAATTTATCACTTGGTGATTAAATAAAAAAATAACTAGCATGTTATATACAAAAAGAGATAATAATGTGATACTTGACCCTGATGAATTTGATAAGATGCTTGAGGAAGCTGACCCTAATTTAAAAATTTTTTTTGCAGATATGTGTACTATATTAATACTGCAGAACCACTTGCCTTATAATAAAAAAGAAAACAAAAAAAAATTGTTGCAATCTTATACCATATAGCGCAGACCACGGTACCCCTGTGCAAAGTACCCCCTATTAAAAAATTTCATGGTGGAATGTAAAATACCCGGGGGTATATCCTCTATAAAAAAATTTTTAATATGAAAAATTGCTTAATATAGTACTCTGGGTATTATACAAATTTTGACTGTAGATTGTATTATACCCAGGGTACCGTGGTCTGCGCTATACGGTACTTAATGTGGGAATACAGAATAAGCATATTGATAATTTTAAGCTAAAGCTTGCTTTGTATCTTTCAGGGTTGGGAGTAACTTGTAATCAGTGATGTAAATTGGGTTCGTGTAGTAGGTGCAGTGTATGTAGATTTAAATTTGCACATATAATAGTATTCTCCATATATATAGTATGTGTATAAAATTTTTTTTTTGTGCATATTTTTTTGCATTTGTGCCAATAAAATTTTTTTGGATTTATAATACTGCTTGTAATGCAATTAATATATTAAATAGTGCTGGAGTTTTGGTTACTCATCAGACCATAAATAACTCCAAAAAAAAAATTGCTAACGAATATTTGATTAGAGTAAAAAAATATTTTAATGGAAAAAAAAATCAACTTTGCATATATAATCTAGATGATTATCATAATATCTATGAAATTTGATATCCAGATAACACATCTCTTTTGGGTGCAGTTCACTTAATGACGTATATAGCTAAAAAAGTTAAAAAATCAGATCTTGTGCTGATTATGTTTAACAATAAGTTTGTTTATAATCCCAATAACATTGATACTTCTCTTATTTGTGAAAAACTTATTAACCATACCAATACCACTTCAATTTATTATATTTGCAACAGATAGTTCAATGGAATAGTTTGTTTTTCTTTAATTTTAATAGAATTGATTAGCTTTCAATACATTTTTACAATAATGCCATTGAGAAATGAAAAGAAGAGCATAAAATGAAATATGCAATATTAGTAGGAGCAAAGAAAAAATAGCTATATTCTATATAAGATTATTTAGACACATTAAATATTACTTTAGATTATAATAGAGAAATAGGTCATTTTGATAATAATGTAGCACCAATTATTGCTGACTAGCCAGATTAGTGTTATATTTGTCAAGCACTTATACATTTTTATAACAAAAATAAAAATTTAATACCAAAAAAAATAGTATTATTTGTTTCTTTACTTGGGCCCTTGCATGTTGCTTTTAATACAAAAGAGCAGATAATAAAAATTTATTACCTGTTTTTTTAAAAAGCTCTTTCATTATGTGTTTGGAAAAAAAAAAGTTTTGGCTAAAAAAAAGGCAATTAAAAAAAATTTAGTTCAATTTAATAATTATTGGGTGAAGAATATATACAGTAAAATACATACTACAACATCTTCAAAGGATACTCTAATAATATAAAAAAACAGGCCTATCCTTTAGATTTTCATAAATATTTAGCATTTTATAAAATGTTTTTAACTACAAAATGCTATCTATATTCATCTTGAAATCTAAAATTTTTAACTACTAAGACCTGTATTTTTCTTATTATACAGTTTTAAGAAATTTATAGGAAAAATGAAGAAACCATTTTAGTTAGCAATAAAATTTTATTTTTATTAAAGTGATGAAAAAAAAATTTACTCACCTCATATAATCTTTCTACTTTAGATAAATTAGATATAGCAATTATGCCAACTAGATATAATATACTATTCTTTGCCTTATTTAATAATTATCGCAGCTGATGCTGAAAACGACTGATGCTGAAATTTGGGTATCTATTTAAATCTATAATACTTACTAAAATCTACATATACTTTTTTATTAATAAAACTATCCTACTAACCCTAACCTAACTATGAAAAAAAAGTGTAAAAAAAAGGCCCAAAATTTTTTATAATTTTATAATAAAATATGAAAAAATTTCAGCATCAGCCGTTTTCAGCATCAGCTATAACAATAATTGTAATTTTTGTTATAAAATATTTGATATAAATGATCAAATAATTATTTTAATATACAGATATAGATTTCATCTAAAATGCTATAATGAATAGAAAAAAAATACAATCATTGTTTAAATTATTATAAGAAAAGCATATAAAAAAATGTTAATATATTTTTAGATAGATTAAATTCAGAAAAAATTTTGATGATAATAATGAGTCTGAAAAAGAAATTAATAATTTAAAAGAGGCTGAGATTGATCAGTTAAATAAACAAGAATCTCTAGAATTAGATTTACTTAATAGAATTAGTTTTTTTTTTTTTAACTTTCGGCAGTCATACCTTCACTTTATTAGGCTATAATAAACAAACTACACAAGTTTATCAATCTTATTGAATACATAGTGTCCAACTACCTAAATTACAAGTGTAAGCTAACCTAGTTGTATCAAATATGTATCTATGTTTGACCTGCTACAGTAGAGTTTATCTCCTTACTTATCCCTCTTACAATTGAAGTAAATAAATAGATCTATGAATGGTTTTACAGCCTGTCATGATTGCTAATTTCTCTAAATCTCTCATCTTCTAAATATTGGAGCAAGAGAATTCTATAATCTTTGTCTAAAGAACAACAAGTAACTAAAAAAAAACTAAATTAAAAAAAGAATAGTAAAAGAAAGAAAAAATACTACAAGACCTAAATGAAAACCAAATACAAAAAATGAAAGAAAAAAAAATATAAAAAATAAAAGGGCAAAGAAAAAACATAAATATAACAACACTAATTGCACTAGTGCAGGGTTTAAAAAATTATTTAATACTCCATAAAACAATCTCTACCTTCACTTTACTTCGGTATTAAAATAGTTTGTTTATGTGAGGAATACAAAATTTTTCTTGGTTATCTATAGATCTGTCATATGTTATTCATTGTTGTTTAGGCATGTAGTAGCATAACTTTCTCGTGATTTAGCCATTCCCAATTTGGCTATATAAACAATATCAATCCTTTGTAAAGTACACTGAATTTTTCACATTTTGGAAAAAATTTCGAGAGAAACACCAAAAAACCTAGCAAGAATATGAAAGGTGGTTTGCAAAGTCAGGTACTTTCAAAATTTCAAAAGAGTATGTTGAAGTCCACAAATATTTGTTGTTTTTTCTGTGTTTTGTTAACAGTCTAAGAGTTTCATTAATGAAAAAGACTTTGTCTTTTCACCAGGATTTTTATACAAGGGCACTGCTTGCCAGTTATTTTGTATAATGATACTCTTAGTTTGTATACTGAATGTCTTTTTAAAGGAGTCTTACAAAAAAAAAACGTTAACCTTTAGACAAACCACTACATAGACTATAACTTTTCAACAAAAATTGTGTTTTTCTTTGGTAAGAAATTTTGGTATGAGTAATCATTAGAAAAAGTGAATAGAAAAATAATGTCTTAATAGAATTAGTAAAATTAATAGTTGGTAAATAATAATAATAATAATAATAATAATAATAATAATAATAATAATAATAATAATAATAATAATAATAATAATAA